CTTATAAGGTATGCAGCAATATACCTTTATCACCTGCATACGGAGTTTATATCTCGCAATTGATTTGGTACGCAAAAGCATGCTCTACATATATTTATTTTTCAAAAGGAGGTAAATTATTGATATATTGATAAAAACAAAAAAATCAGCTTTACCCTTTAAAGTTATCATTTCGTTAGTTCTATGATCGATAAATTTATCAGTGACACAAACGCCGAAGGACGTTATTCATGCTTTTCATGGGTCTCTCCAAACTTCAAAAACAACGAAAATTATCCCCTCTCGAAAATAAAGCATTTCACAATATATAAAAAAAATTAAAAATATGCTCTTCATTATTTCATTACTATTTACGAGCTATCTAACTGAATCTACTGAATGTACCTGAAAATTGGTAGATAAATATATGTACCTGAAAATTGGTAGATAAATATTCCCTTCTGTAGCATTATTGTTTATTTTGTTGTACACGAAATTGGAAAGAACCTTTGTGTCAGGATAGATGTTAAAATTTATGATGTACTATTTTTTACTATTTTTTTGTCTTTAAAAATTGTCTAACATTTCTAATATATATTTGTAACTGTTCAAGTTAGTTCCGTTATACATATAAAACATTTATTTAAAAAATGACTTTCCTTTGACTAAAAAGGAGTGCATCACCAACTTACAAATGCAAATGAATATTATAGAATGTGTTGACGGTTACTATGGCCTGAATTGCAGTACTCAGTGTGGAAATTGTCATCAAGGACTTTGTAACAAGAATAATGGATCCTGCCAAACTGGTTGCAACTTGAACTGGAGAGAACCTCTCTGCCAAGGTAAGTTTTGCTTTATTATGGATAATATTAATTATTCTCGTATTTATATGTTTTCTAGCCAGCGGATTAGATTTGTGCAACAAAAAGATATATTTAAGATCAAGAGAAGGAACATTTAAGTTGTAAGAAGTGATGTATAGGCACGTTAAAATTTGAAAAGGAAAATTAAAAAAGAATAACTCTTCTAATTATAGAATGTGTTGACGGTTACTATGGACAGAATTGTAGTACTAGATGTGGTAATTGTCAAGAGGGATATTGTGACAAGACGACCGGAAGTTGTTTATCTGGTTGTAAACTGAATTGGAAAGAACCTCTTTGTCAAGGTAGATTTTGAACGTCAATACGAGCGATGTGTATTATTCTCGTATTTACATTTTTTTTTGCTTGTGAGTTAGATATTTTAAACCAATAAGTATTACACATTAAAGAATGAAGGAAAAGTAAAAAAAAATGAAGAATACCAATTTATAGTGGGATTGATTGATTGATTGTATATTGTTTAACGTCCTCTCGAGAATTTTTCACTCATATGGAAACGTCACCGTATGCCGGTGAAGGGCTTTAAATTTTGACCTTTACTCGGCACTCAGGCCATTGAGCAGTGAGAAATCTTTATCGTGCCAATGCCTGCCGCTGAGACGGGGCTTTCGATTTTAAGGTCTCATCCGAAGGACCAGCAACTTTCACTTCAAACGGTTGAGCGATTTGTGAAGGAACAGTTCCTACCCATTTCTTTTCGACTTAGGTCAGTTGAGGCCGAGATTCGAACCCACGACCTCCTGATCACGGAGCGAGCTCTCTACCGACTGAGCTAGTGGGAAAATGCACAAAAAGTATTTAAATTATCTATTGTGCTGACGGTTTCTATTGCCAGAAATGTAGTGCTAAATGTGAAATTTGTCTTGGATAATTATAGGGGAACAATAAATAATATTTTTGCGACTACTTCTACTACTAATTTTTATTATAGAATGTGTTGACGGTTACTATGGACAGAATTGTAGTACTAAATGTGTTAATTGTCAAGAGGGATATTGTGACAAGAAGACAGGAAGTTGTTTATCTGGTTGTAAACTGAATTGGAAAGAACCTTTTTGTCAGGGTAGATGTTAAAATTTATGTTCTACTATTATCTTCTTTCAAAATTGTCTACCATTTGTACATGTAATACTTTATACAAGGACATTTTTCTGCCCATCTCAATTTTGGACGCATTTTAAAGGGATCAAATTAAAAAAATATAGAATTGGTACTGGGCAACTTTAAAAGGGGGCAAAATTGTTTGCAAATGTAAATGTAAAAGGGCGAAAATAATACGAGGCGTTAACAACCATTTATACAGTTTATATTTCTAGCCGTAAGTGTAATATATATGGAATAAATAACATAATAATACAAAATTAAAATAGAGGATACCGCCTCAGACATAATCCCCTTGACATTAAATACATTCAGATAATACAGAAACAAAATAAAGGATACTATATCAAACATTTTTCCTTTACGCTCTTTCTACCACCCTGAACGAAAACATCTATGTACTAATAGGCTGGGAAAACAAGGACCCTAATGTAACTCTGGAATGACACCAGTTTCAACCATGCATCTTATTTTGTGAATTTTAAAACCCTGAAAATGTGTTTAAGGTGCTGCTGAAACATAAAGCGGGTCCTCTCCAGCTAATTTCACATGCCTTGCTCAGCACTAAAGCTGCAATTGGGTTGGGAATCTATTTACAGATAGACTTTTATTTTACCTTAATTGTATTGAAAGTTGAATATTTGTAAGAATCTTTTTTTAAGAACTCCTTTTTTTGTCATGCCTGAAAATGAATGTTTTATCAAAGCAGGAAGTATAGGTTTGAGTCTAAATAAACCGCAATTTCCCTTACTCTCAGCAAAGATAAAATACAAAAAGAAATATATCCATGTACCAAAATGCCCGTTACTAATTATTGGCTATATATGGTACTGTCACTATTTATTTATTTATCTTTTTAATTTCGAATATTAAAAGAGCTGACCTAGCAAGCTTTTTGTACTACTTAACATTTTGCTGATTAATAAATGGTTCAAGAAATCGGGGGTGTTTGGCATTTAAAAATGGTATAACCATGCTGCCATGTAAAATAGAGTTGATGATTTTCATAAACTGAATAGGTACATGTAAGATACAAGACATATAAGACATTAAAACCTGTCCCACGGAGACCACTTTAGTGCATTTGGTCAATTGATAACTCTGAAATAAACCCTTAAAAACAATTTAGAGCATGCCAGTAAAATATGTACAATTACTTTGCAATAAGAGCTAAAGCTGCCATATAACAAAATACAGGCTGTGCTTGGAGAGTTGTAAAATATAGATTGGTATGATTAAATATCAACAAGCACTTTGTTGAATATCTTGTTCTTAAGCGTGAAAGTAAATCTGGTAAATGAATTCTTTAATGAGTCCAACAATTCAACAGCCAAAACAATTGAGAATAATTCCTGAGGGCAACATTGTAATACATTTTTTTTGGCCAATTAAGATCCATAAAACTTTCTATATATTTTTTTTTCTTTCAACAGACAATAACCATTACCCAAGAATCAGCTGCATGTGGAGATGCATGTGTTTTGATATAACCTGTATATGTTCAAATAACCATCGTACTAAGATACAAACTATTTGTTTAAATTTCATTGCATATGTATAGCTAGCTTTAATTTCTCCAATTTCTCCGGCAGCAATGTATATCCATTGCCACTGTGTCAAATTCAATTTAAAAAATTACCATCTTTGTAGCTGCCCATAAAGTTTTTTATCTAACACGAGTAACGCAGAGAAAATGTCCCTTGACTTTACCAATCCATTATAAGGCCACAGAAAATTTTTCAAAAATTAGCACAAGAAATGGACAACCCAAGTGCAAACCTTATCATAGAATATGAGACTTTCCTATTGAAAGCCCAGAAGTTCATGATCCTCTTTGTGACTTGGTATACATAACAAGCTGAATATTAAGCATCTATTTTGGCAAAAAGGCAACTTTCCCCATGGAGACAATAATATTTAAAGCATTATCCAGAATAAATCCAGAACAATTAATCATTACTTAGTATATATTTTTTAAATGAAAAGACTAGTGTTGTTTGAGTCTAAATTGAACATGTTCTTTCTTTTGAACAATACCAGTTAGGGAAAATTAAAATTTTCAAAGGAGGGGGTGAAACAAAAAAGTCCAACAATTTTATGAACATAATCTTTTTCTGTACCGTGAAGCAATCAATGACTGAGTTGTGTAAAGCGGACATGCGATACTAAGATTATCTGAAAGATATTGCACCCTGATGTAAATCAAATCCATACTTAAATTCTGAAACCAGATATAATAAATAATGACATTATGGTCCATTAATAATAAATATTTAAGGACATTAGGGATGATAGGGGTAAAAACACAACTGCATTACTTAAGGAATAATGGCAATTATTTGTGATTTGCAAATTGTTCCTACACTCTACACAAATGCATTGAAACTTGCAGTTTTCAGGTTTGCATATCCCTTCCCTAATATATGGCCAGAAAATTTCTATGAAGATTTGTCCCCCCCCCCTTTTTTTTGAAAGTCTTAGTCTAAACCTTGATCAAAAAGGGGAGGGGAAAAATGCTTTGTAGTTTCATCTCTAGATCTCAAATTGCCCATTAACCTTTTTTCAAGACATACCCATAACCTGTCTATAGATCCTAATTTGTACTACTACTTGTGAAAACACAAGTAACAAAAGGATAATATGCCTCACTCTACAAGGCAGAACTTGTCAAGACCTACGCCCATACTGGCTATGCCAACTACAGTGTCATAACAACACAACCTGACAATACTGCCTAAGCATACAAGCCAAGTCTTGCTAAAGTTTGTGTATAACCCAATCATGCAGGATATGTAAAATAAAAATGTCCAACCATATATAACATAATCATATGCTCACAAAAAGTAAAGGGTAAATCTTGTTATTAGTAAGGATATAAAATTTTATATAATATGTCAACTAAAATGTCTAAATAAACATCTTAACATGAGCATAATGTGTGCATGACCCTACAGGGCAATATTCTTGCTAAGATGTTCAACCGTACAGATGTATTAAATAAAATGTCCAACCATACAGGACAACTCTATATATCAACTATATAGAACAAATGAAAAGTTCTGTCTTCATATGCAGCAAGACCTGGATATATGACATTATTGGTATGTTCAACCACACCGAGCATCATTATGATTAAATGTGTCCAACCGACTTTACCTTGGCATCTGATACACAGCATTAAATATATATATATATATAATTTTTACTTTATGTATATATATATCATATCCTATAACATTCTGTGCAACCAAAAAGGGTAAAATATTGCCCAAAAACACAAGACCTAACTCAAGATACCAAACAATACAAAGATACAAATGGCCCAACAATATAGAGCATAACATCATGGCCCAAACCATATAGGGCTATAGAATAACTTGCCCAACCATATAGGGCATGACACCATGGCGCCCAACCATACTGCGATACATATAGCCCAACCATATAGGACTATAGTATGGTGCCCAACCATATAGGGCACAACAACACCATAGCGCCCAACCATACTGGCATAAAAATAGCCCAACCATATAGGGCTATAGCATATTGCCCAACCATATAGGACATAGCACCATGGTGCCCAACGATACTGGGATACATATATCCCAACCATATAGGGTTATAGTATGGTGCTCAGCCATATAGGGCACAACAATACCATGGTGCCAAACCATACTAGATACATATAGCCCAACCATATAGGGTTATAGCATATTGCCCAACCATATAGGACACAACACCATGGTGTCCAACCATACTGGGATACACATAGCCCAACCATATAGGGCTATAGTATGGTGCCCAACCATATAGGGCACAACAACAACAAGGCGCCAAACCCATACTGAGATACATATAGCCCAACCATATAAGGTTATAGCATATTGCCCAAACATATAGGGCATAACACCATGGTGCCCAACCATACTGGGATACATATAGCCCAACCATATAGGGCTATAGTATGCTGCCCAACCATATAGGGCACAACAACACCATGGCGCCAAACCATACTAAGATACATAAAGCCCAACCATATAGGGCTATAGCATATTGTCCAACCATATAGGGCATAACAACACCATGGTGAAAAACCATAAATGGATACATATAGCTCAACGATATAGAGCTGTAGTATCTATAGCCCAACCATATAGAGCATATATAAATACCTGAATAGGTTTAATCCATGTAATTTACGGTATATATGCAACCAACCCCACGGCAAAATAATGAAATCAAAATAAGCGACTGACTGTAATAGCTACATGATGAACAACAAGTGCAATTTACTCTGGCTACATGCATTTGCAGTGCTTAATTCTTAACATATACTGACAGGCCACAGGCTTTAATTCTTTAATGAAACCAAAAAACATTGAATGCACTTATAATCTACCCAAACTTCACCATATATTACACTAAATTGTTATATATCCAAACTGTCTGCCTGGTTTAGCATTAAAGAGCCTGTTTACTAACGACACCTTGACATTGCGCGATTCAGATTCTATAAAGAACCTGCCAGGTTTACTTGGTGGTTTACAATGGAGATTTTGGTATGTTGACATTACACTATGCACTCAACAACCCCAGCTTTTTCTCAGCGAGTAAAACATTCTTAACCTAGGCGTGTAACTGAATATCTAGACTACACAAATCATTATAACCTGATTGTATATAAATACTAGCTCGGGTTTAATTTTATCAACTTCTGCAAGCCTAAAGAAAGTATGTCAATTTAATGCAACCCGAATATCCTCTTTACATTACCTTCTCGCTGAGATATTCAGACAGAAATTGACATTCAACTGTTCTAACAAATCTGCAAACGAACAATAAATAAATATCTTTGAATCGAAACACTATTCTGCCTGACTGAAACAATATAAATACTCACAACCAAGTAAAATTTGTAAACCACATTTTCGGAGCCAAAAGTTATTTTGATAAGGATAAGGCTTATAGCCGTAACTAAGGGGCTCTTATGTATAAAACCCTGAAAATCCCTTTGGGACCTATGGATTCACACAAATTGGTGATTAATAAAAATACGCAATTTTGTACGTATTTAGATCACATAAATTCCTTTATATACATAAATACACATAATACAAAATTAAAATTTTTATCCCAAAAATGTAGTACATCGGCAAATAATAGATACAAAATAAAATTATAGAATGTGGAGACGGTTTCTATGGCCTGAATTGCAGTACCCAGTGTGGAAATTGTAAAAATGGATTTTGTGACAAGAAAAACGGATCCTGCCAAACTGGTTGCAATTTAAACTGGAAAGAACCCCTCTGCCAAGGTAGATGTTTAATTTATCTTATAAATAGTGATGAGCATTATTAAATTATTATGATTTCTAACCAGTGAATACGAAATGTGTAACAAAAAGATAAATTAGATAAAGAAAAGAAAAATGTCAAGTTGTTAGAAGTGATGTATAGAATATTCAAAAAGAATAACTCTTCTAATTATAGAATGTGTTGACGGTTACTATGGCCAAAATTGTAGTACCAGATGTGGTAATTGTCGAGAGGGATATTGTGACAAGACGACCGAAAGTTGTTTGTCTGGTTGTAAACTGAATTGGAAAGAACCTCTTTGTCAAGGTTAATGTTGAACGTCAATACGAGCTATGTGCATTATTCTCATATTTGCTTGCGAGTAAGATATTTCTAGCCAGCGAATAAGAAATGATTTTGTAACTATTAAATATTATGATTTATAAGGAAGAAAATCTATTCTTTGTTAGAGGTGATGTACAGGCAATAAATGGAGAAAAATTTAATGTTGATAATAATTATTCCAATTATAGAATGTGTTGATGGTTTCTATGGCCAGAATTGTAGTACCCAGTGTGGAAATTGCCGAGAAGGAATCTGTGACAAGAAGACCGGAAGTTGTTTATCTGGCTGCCAATTAAACTGGAATGAACCTATGTGTCAAGGTAGATATTTAACGTCAAAAAGAGAGCAATATTTCTATGTTTTGCTTGTGAACTTGATGTTTCAAACTATTGGGTATTGCAATTGAAAAAAAATAATAAGGAAAAGGAATTTGTCTGAAAGAAATGATGGAAACCTATTCATGAGGACAAATTGAAGAATCATGCGTGAACAATAAATAATAATAAAAACTATTTCAATTTTAGAATGTGTTGACGGTTACTATGACCAGAATTGTAACACCCAGTGTGGAAACTGTCGAGAGGGATTTTGTGACAAGAGGACTGGAAGTTGTTTATCTGGTTGTAAACACAATTGGAAAGAACCTTTGTGTCAAGGTAAATATTTTACCTTAAAACGAACGAATAACATTATTCTCATATACTCAAGGTTTTTTGGCTTGTGAATAAGACGTTTCCAACTAATGGATGTAGCAAATTAATTAAGAAAAAAAATCTTTAATTTGAAAGGAATCATGACTCCCAATCTATAATGCCCAAAAATCCCTTTCAATTACATAATGAGCTGACAGGTATTATGGCCAGAATTGTAGCAGGCAGTGTGATAATTGTCTAGAGGGACATTGTGACCCTAAAATCAGAAGTTGTATATTTTGATGTAAAATTAATCGGAAAGAACTTTGTGTCAAAGTAGATTTTTATCGCAAAATTAGTTTTGTGCATTATTCTCGTATTTACGAGTTTTCTTGCCTGTAACCACGATAGTTCTCTCATTAAGTTTTACAAATGAAAAGCAAACAAAGTCTTTTATGAGAAATGATGTCTCCCAATTTTACAAGGAAATAATAAAAAATAATTATAAAAACTATTTCAATTATAGAATGTGTTGACGGTTACTTTGGCAAGAATTGTGGTGCTCGCTGTGGAAATTGTCTTGAAGGGTTTTGTGACAAGAAAAACGGAAGTTGTTTATCTGGCTGCAAATTAAATTGGAAAGAACCTTTGTGTCAAGGTAGATGATAAAAATCATGATGTTCTATCCTTTTTTTAAATGTCTACACTTTGTTATCTTTATTTCTAATATATTGGGTGTTTTCAGCGTGGTGCTTACCTTGTCTTATTCAAGCGGTTTGGTAGTTATAAGTAGTGAAATTTTTAAACTACAAAAATTTCAATCGCTAAAGTTTCACCTTTCATTGTCCCTATGAAATACAAGAAAATTGACTTGATTTAATCAGTCTATTGTATAAGGAATTTAACCCTCATCTGGAATTGTAATCTGTAGTTATAAGGTATTATCTATTAATAAACTAAACTTTCTTATCATAACAAGATGTCAAAAACTGGTATTACTATAGCATTAATAGAATAAGTAGACGGCTATAAATATTCAGAAACCGTTGCCTTGGTTCAATAATAATGCATATATGCTGATAAGTTTCATCAAATTACCATTATAAAATTCTTTACATAGAATGTGTTGATGGAAATTATCACATGGACTGCAGCAGACAGTGTGGTCATTGTCTTACCGGAGTTTGTGATAAGACTAATGGAGCCTGTTTGAATGGATGTTCACCAAACTGGCAGGAACCTTTGTGTCGAGGTATGATTTAACTATTAATTCAGATACATTTCATAAATGATGCTTCTTAAAATTAGAAGGAAAAGTTCTCCTTATATACTTTATATATACAGTAACGCATGACATCAACTGTTATGTTTAAAATGAAAACCTTAATGTTTATAAATATATTTGCTTGGGTTTTCGTTTTGGTCTTACTTTCAAATTAAAATTAGCTTAGCCTGAACGTGCTTTTCAATAGTCTTAACAAAGATACTTTAAGGAAAAAAAAACTTAAGAATACCTGAGAGATGTTTAAATTACGATGGAATCTCTGGCCAGAAGTGATACAAAGGAGATAGCATTATTTCAATTAATTTTAGGGTCGATATGATAACTTTGTTAAGAAAGACAAGCTATCAATGGGTATGTTTTTGACAGGGATAAATATAACTTCTTTGAGCTGTTTTTATACCAAATTTGACTACGAAATACAGTGCGAGTATTCCTTGTACTAGTATCCATACTTATTTAAGACCCGGGACGAATGAGGTGATTCAAAGGAGAAAAAAACTTATCTTATGTACCTTATCAGGTAAATGCTACATTAATAACAGAGAAGTCATTTTAATTATCACAAGTGTTTTTTAATGTTCTCAGTTTCATCTGCATTTCCCATTTAGAATGTGCTGATGGATCTTTTGGTGAAAGTTGCAATATACGGTGTGGAAATTGCATCCAAGGACTGTGTGACAAGAGAAATGGAACCTGCATGATAGGCTGTTTTCCGGATTGGGAGGGACCTATGTGTCAGGGCAAGTTTTTAGTTTTATAAAAATTTCTTATTGGTACTACATAACGATAAATTATTTTGGTTAGTTACTTTTAAATGTGAGATTTGCAGATAATAAAAACTTTAATTTTCATTGTTTCTATGTTTGCGTCAGACTTTCTTGTGTAATGTATTTTGTCATCTACATTTATTTCAGTTTTCAATTCATTATCATTGCCAAAAATATAATCAAAATAGATGTTAGGAAAGTCTTCAAAAAAAAACTTTCATGTTTTCTCATATCATCTTTTTTTTGTAAATTAACTGTGTGTGTTTATGAAATCAAATGATCACCAACCAGAGTAAGAAGATAGCAAAAACAAACAAATAAAAACAAGACTCCGCACAAAAAAAATCTTTATTTTACTGAGTTTGAGATAAATTAGAAATATCTTATTTGTTTATGGGTAAAGAATGACATCTAAGGACTTCACGAGTCACAGATTTCATTGAACGAATTCTATCTTGAAGTTGTATAATAAAAAATATAATTTTATTTTAGTTCTTACTACAAGAGAACCACAAACGGGTGGTAAGTAGTTCGGGAATTCAAATTTTTACTTGTAAATTATACATGTTTTCTCAGACTTTTCATAAGGGATACAATTTACATTCTGGCCCGATTTGTTTTTTTTTTGTTCTTCAGATGAGGAGTTTTCCAAAACTTCCGTGGTCGTTATTTCTGTTATATCAACTCTTATTGGAGTATTACATTTGGGTGCGTTGATCATAGTCATATATATCAAGAGAACAAGATGCCTGTCACAGAATAACAGAGATCATAGCAACAATGACCAAATGTCGCGCAAGGATACAGAGCAGAAGTATGCTGAGTTAACAGGCGGAAAAGAAGATCACCATTATACGACCATTGATTCTACTTACAAGGAATCAGAATATCAGGAAATACATACTTATAATAATACTGGATTTAACAAGGTCATGTGACAACTTTTGTCTCATCAGTTTTTTTGTTTGCCAATTTTTTAAAAATATAATGCTTTTTTGTATTTTAGATAACTCTTTTTAAATCCTATTGGAAAATAAAAGTGATATTTTCTTTCTTAAATAATGATGACTTGATGATTGTTCTCTCATTTTTTCTTATATATACTGATATTTCCAATAATTATTGATCTGCACTCCAAATTTACTGTACTTAGATAACTTAAAATACCTGAAATGTGTGATAGTTTATCTTCTGAAAATAAACTAAAATATGCCTGTGTGAAATCCTTGAACCGTTCAGCGGTACAAGTCTGAATATATCTGTTCTGATTTTCAATGAAATATTTTTCTCTACTTTTTTTCAGTGAAATCCTGCATTTTGTAATATATGTATCGAATATATTCAATATAAAATTATTTTCTTTCTCAGTGTCAAAGGATACCGAAAAGACAGTGTAAAAAATAAAAAAAAAAATGCAAGAGGCATTAGTAAGCTAAATAAATAACTATAAATAGAAATAAAATGAAATAAAAAATATATATAACAAATAGTTCTGTAGTTGGATATAGGATCTATTTATGGCTTTGGAAAATGTTTTACCAGTTTATACAGCTTTACAGTTTACCCTTTATACAGTTTTAGCAGAGTAGTTTTGCAGAAAATCTTTTCTAAACTAATGAAACAAATTCTATATGCAACGACAAAACAATTAATATTAACTATGATTACAATATTAACCAAATTTTCATATTTGAATAGATAAATGTTTATCGTGTTTTTTGTCATCAACATTAGTAATATTTGTGACATCAAATGTATATAAGTATGTGATGTCATGAAGAATATAAGGATAGATAGTTTTATTTGTGACGTAAAAATGGAAATATAAGAGAATGTGCTATTATATGCATACATACAATGTTATAAAACTGTATAAGTTCAGTTTTTCTAAATATTTGGAAATATGATAAAGATAAAGAAAATAAAAAAAAATCTCAAAATACCAAATACAGGTGAAGTTTAACACCTGAGGTATTTCACTGTGTATTAAATCACTTCCCAAGGGATTAGGAGACAGAACACCACAGGTAGACTGCTAGCCCAAAAGCATTCACACCTGCACAAAATAATCCCCTCCATTACCTGGAATATACCACACGGTAAGAAATCTCTGCCTTTAATAATTGAATCATAAATTGAACATATTGAAACTCAAGAGAGATAATTGCGGCCAGTCGTACCAAAAATACTTTGGAAATAAAGTTTGGATATTTCAAAGAAAGATATACTTTTACATGAACCACGTATAAAGACATCTGGAAAACAGAGAAAAATATTCCCATTTTACCTTGGCCTACAAAGCCCAGATATGCACATATTAGAATATGGAAAGTTTTAAAAATAGGTAATAACCGTATAAATCGGCGATTTAATTAACAACACGTCAGATAGATCTTGAAAAAGAAATTAAGTGACTGACATCTTGGCATCTTTTGATTCACATTTTATAAAAACTCTTATTAATGTATCCCAAAGAAAGCCAGGGCCGTATTTAGATAAAAGAATACATAAAAGGATACAAATAATTCTTTGCAAGTGCTTGTTTTTGTTTGCATACTTTTACATTTTACATTTCATCAGGTTTTCCCTATATTATTGACGGAGGTCTGTTTTTTTTTAACAAAAAACGACCAAATACTGTACATAAAATTTTTAAATAAGTGGATATCTTATGTTTAAATAATATCTATGAACGAAACACATATGTTAAGAAGACATTAAAAAAGGACCAATGAAAAATAAGAGGTAGGATCAACTGAAAAGGTGGGGGTAAGAATCCCCTGTTGACCGTCACATTTACCTCAAGCTGTATAATTTGCTCAGATATAAGAAACTTTCTCTAGCCAATTCAGTAAAAAAAAAAAAAACGAAAGTCCTTACAGCTAACCAAAATACACTACAGTTATAAGATATTTGCTAACAAGATAATTAATACTTACATCAAATTTACGAAATGGCAAATTTAATTGAGATTGTTTAAACTTTTGTAACACCAAGTGTCAGTGAGTACATGTAGCATGTCTCGAAAGTTTAAGAACCATTTGGGGATGTCGTCAGTTATGTACAAGACGGTTATGTTTCAAAATATGTCTACTTCCTGGAATATATGAATGGAATACTTAATCAAAACGTCATAAAAAAACTTCAGTTCAACTTTTATATTCTGTAGTAAATTAATATCTTAAAACCATTCAATAACTTGAAATATCAACTTGATTGTGGTATAGTTATTATGAAAAATGGAAAATTAAGATTAAAAAGTTTAATTCTTAATAAAGTTTAAAATACATAAAATGAACTTCGAACCTATTTATTACTTTCATTTTTTCTTACAAGCACATTAATACCGATCGCATGACATCTAAAATTAATTTTGATATATACGGATATGTGTGCTGTGTCACTATCAGAACCAGAAATCAACGATCGTCAAGTGCTGAATCAATAAAAATTTATTGTTGTATTAGAATAGCCATCTCCATTATAAATGTACCTTATATTCTCACACTGATTTAAAGCTGCACCCTAAATTATTATAGAACCCGGAAGATAAAAACCAAGAGCGTATATTTCAAGTGAAATACACTCTGGATTTTAAATGATTAT